CAGGATCTTTTGCCATGTTCTCTCCAGCGAAGTTCTTCTGTCTGTAGGTTCTGTCTTCTAAATTCTGTGTAAGTTCTGTGTCTTGCTGTCTTGTTACATCTGTATTTATACCAGTTGATTCAATCCTATCAATCTCTATTACAATGGTTAGGGCGTTTCTTATCTCCATTCCAGGGAGTAAAGATTATGTAGCTTAAGCATGATTGTTCATAGTTAAAGTGATTAATTACCCGCCTGGCACTTAGTTGAGGGGTTTTATTCCCTCCCTAACTTCAGGGGAAAATCCCTACCTGGGGAAATAACCTTTCTCAGAGAGGAGACCTTGGTTAAAACACATAGTGCCAAGAAGGTGAGCAAACATATTAAGAACAGTATGCCATATATGCCAGGTCCCTTGAAACAGCAAGGACGGACCGGCTCCCGGCAATCAGCCACTCATCCAGGCTGGCCAGGTACCCCAGTGGGGACCCCCACACTGAAGGGGCTGTGGCTAGCCTGCAAACAGCCATCAGCCCCTCACCCAGGCTGGCCAGGCACTCCTGAGGGAACCTTTACCCTGAAGGTGCTGTGGCCAGCCTCCAAACAGCCTTCAGCCTCTCACCCAGGCTGGCCAGGCACTCCTATATAATAAAAGGGTAATATGCAAATTGACCCTAACAGCAGAACGACTGGGAATGACTGGCCACTATGACACACACTGACCACCAGTGGGGAAGACGCTCAATGCAGGAGCTTCCCCCTGGTGGTCAGTGCGCTCCCACAGAGGGAGCTCTGCTCAGCCATAAGCCAGGCTCATGGCTGCCAGTACAGCGGTGGTGGTGGGAGCCTCTCCCGCCTCCTCAGCAGTGCTAAGGATGTCCGACTGCAGCTTAGACCTGCTCCCCACTGGCAAGTGGACATCCCCAGAGGGCTCCCGGGCTGTCAGAGGGATGTCTGACTGCCTGCTTAGGCCAGTCCCCCAGGGAGTGGGCCTAAGCTAGCAAGTGGTCATCCCCTGAAGGTTCCTAGATTGCAAGAGGGCACAGGCTGGGCTGAGGGATCCCCCTGAATGCACAGATTTTTGTGCACTGGGTCTCTAGTCCTATCTAATAACAGACAAACATGGTAATTGACTACCTTTGGTATGCCTCCCATTGGCTAATCAGCACGATATGCAAATTAACTGCCAACAAAGATGGCGGCCAATTTGCATACTGCAGGCAGGGCGGGACAGCATGAGCTGCCAGCGCGAGCTGCCATCCAGGCCCCTGTGTGCGACCCCAGAAGCCGCCTGCCTGCCGTCTGTGACCAGATCCGGTCCCGGGCCACAGGCCAGCCCCGTCTGCACCCCCAGAAGCCACCTGCCTGCCACCCGTGACCGGATCTGGTCCCGGGCTGCAGGCCAGCCCTCGTGTGCAGCCTCAGAAGCCGCCTGCCTGCTGCCCGTGACTGGATCCGGTCTTGGGACACTGGCCGGCCCTGGAAGCCCCAGAAGCCGCCTCTCTGCCCCCGTGACTGATCCAATCCCTAGCCGCTGGCTGGCCCCAGATGCCCCAGAAGAGATATGGCAGTAATCTATCAGTAAGCACTCTGAAAGTCAGTGGCATAAATGCACCAGTTAAAAGACAGATTATGTGGGTGAATCAAAAACAAAACCCACTTTAAATATAAAGACACATATAGATTAAAAGTAAATGAATTAAGCTGCAGCCTGTTTTGCTCAGTGGATAGAGCATTAGCCCATGGACTGAAGGGCTGAATCGTCCCAGGTTCGATTCCAGTCAAGGGCATGTACCCCTGTTGCTGGCTTGATCCCCAGTCCCTATCAAAGCATGTGCAGGAGGCAACCAATCAATGTGTCTCTCCCTTTCCCTTCACTCTCTCTAAAATTCAATGGAAAAATATCCTTGGGTGAAGATTAACAAAAACAAAGTAAATGGACTAAGTAACATTAAAGAAATTATAAGAAAAATATATTCTAAATTTTGTTAGTTGTATAATGGTTATGTTTAAATTATTAACAGCTAAGAAATTGGGTGAAGGGTACATATAATATGCTGTAGTATTTTATAGGTCTTTTTACATGTATGAGATTATTTCAAATTAAAATATTAAAAAATTAAAAATTAATAAAATATTAATTGAAATGTATCTGCATTACATGAAAAATCGCCTAATTGCTCCTAGCGTAATTTATTGTGCTAAAATTTACAAGGCTTCAATTAAAAGATATCTTAATTCTAAATGATATAATAGAAAATATATAATAGTGCAGTTATAAGCACTTATCTGAAAATAAAGAAGGGATTAGCCAAAGAAAATATATGCACAACCCATGGACACAGACAACGGTATGGTGATGGCCAGAAATAAGTGGGGGGCAAGAGCTGGGTAGAGGGGGCAAAAGAGGGGATATAGGGACATCCTATATAATAATAATAATAAAAGGCTAATATGCAAATTGACTGAATGGCAACATGGCTGGTTGCTATGATGCACACTGGCCACCAGGGGGCAGACACTCAATGCAGGAGCTGACCCCTGCTGGTCAGTGCACTTCCATATGGGGAGTACCACTCAGCCAGAAGCTGGCTCATGGCTGGCCAGTGTAGAGGTGGTGGAAGGAGCCTCTCCCAACTCTGTGGCAGCACTAAGAATGTCCAACTAACAGTTTAGGCCCGATCCCTTGGGGGCCTAAGTCTTTAGTCGGACATCCACCGAGGGCTCCCTGGCTGCCAGAAGGATGTCTGACTGCAAGCTTAGGCCTGATCCACAGGTGGACATCCCCCAAGGGGTCCTGGACTGAAAATGGGGGCAGGCTGGGCTGAGGGACCCCCCAAGTGCACAAATTTTTGTGCACTGGGCCTCTAGTAGATATATAAATCCCTAATATGCAAATAGACCGAATGGCGGAACAACTGAACAACCAGTCGCTGTGACGTGCGCTGACCACCAGGGGCGTGCGTGGAACGTGGTGGGCGTCAGCAGCAGGCGGCAGAGCATGGAACATGGCGGGCATCGGCTGCAGCAGGATGGTGGAGCAGGTGAGCAGGGGTGCTAGACCACGGCAGGGCGCCGGTTGCTGTCATCAGGGTGAGCCTCTGGTGGTTCCTGAAAATTCTTTGCTCCTTTGGTGTGAGCAGCAGCTGGCAGCCCCGATCGCCCCTGGGGGCTTTTCCACCTTCCCCTGCTCCTGAGTGGCGATCAGGGCAGCAGCTGCCACTCATACCCGCTGACAGCACCGGCCCCTTTTGCACCCGCTGCTGGCGTCAGCGCCAATTGCTGCATGCTGTCAGTGGGTGAAAGCAGGGCTAGAGGTGGCAACGGGAGCAGGGCTGCGGTCAGACAGCGGACTGGGGGCCATGGCAGGAGGGGCCAGGCAGGGGCATGGAGGATGGGCCGAGACCCACCCCTGTGCCCACCACAGCTTCGCGGCCCACAGTTCCTTGCATGGTGCATGAATTCGTGCACTGGGCCCCTAGTACATAGATAAAAGGCTGAGTTGACTTGCACATGCACGATACATATAAAGCTTTTGCTGGTGCCAGTTGCATGGGTGTGTTTCGATCTGTCATTGTCAGTCATGCATTTGGTTGACACTTCTATTATAGAGAAAAGGTGAACAGTGATATTAAAAAATTTCTTCTAATTAATTTTCTTTCAGTGTGCACAAATCCGTGCACTGGGCCACTAGTAGTAGTATAATTTTATGAATGCATATATTTATGTTTAATATATTTAAGCTTCTTAATTTTCTTTAATTTACAGCATAAATTAGCTAAGCCTACTCCTAACCCACATCAGAAAAAAAAGGAGATATGAGGGTGTTTCTTCTGCATCACCTCTAACTTCCTGTTACCTCTAGGATTTTACTTTTGATTTACATCTAAGTATATAGCTATCTGTATCTTGAAATGCAAAAATTTTTGCATATGTGGCTTTAATTAGAACTCCTGTAGCCTGGTTAATATGATTTCTTGCAGTGTACTTATTGTAACAAAATCTCACTAAGATAATGGTTTTTGTAGAAGTAGGTTAAAATGTAATTTTAACTTTATCTTAACTGTCTTATATCCTTTTGAGTATATATGGTATAATGATGAATGAGTATTTTACATATCATACCAATTTAATTTTAAAACCTAGATGAACACTTTTAAAATTGATAGACATACATTTGTCTTTTCTGTGTGTGTGTGTGTGTTTGTAGGGATAATTGCAGTTGTAAGAAATAAAACAAAGAGATCTTTTGTACACTTTGCCTGGGTTCCCCCAATGACATTTTATAGAACTATTACTCTACAACTTTATATCCAGAATATTGACATTGTGCAATTCACTGGTTTATTCAGATGTATTCAATTTTACTTTTATTCTTGTGTGTGTGTGTGTGTGTGTGTGTGTGTGTGTAATTCTATACTTTTACTCTTGTTTGTACGTTTCTATATTTGCCACTTCAGTTAAGATATTGAATACTTCCTTATCACAAGGGTCCCTGCTTCTCTCCCAGTACTTTTATTTTTCCTCCCTTATCTCTAACCCCTGGCAACCATTAATCTTTCATCATTTCTAAAATGTTGTCATTTCAAAAATGTTAAATAAATGAAATCATGTATTTGAGATTGACTGTTTTCACTTAGTATAATTCCCTGGATATTCATCCAATGTTGTGTGAGTAAATCTATATATAAAAAGCTAATATGTAAATTGTCCCCATGGGAGTTTGATGGGAGACTGATGGCTTGCTATGACGTGTGCTGACCTCCAGGAGGTGGCGTGGAGCGAAGGAAGGCCCCAGTCAGCAGCTGGGGAAGGGAGGCCCCGGCCGGCCCTGATCTCTGGCCAGGCCTGGTGACACTACCTGTGCACGAATTTCATGCACCAGGCCTCTAGTAGTTTATAATTTCTTATTGTCATGTATATTTTATTTTTAGTTGGAAAACTCCTGTTTTAAAACTTGGGTTCTACTTTTTTTCTTCTTTCATCTATTTTTAAAATAAATATATTTGCCTTAAATTTAGGTGACAAAACACGACCTCCTTCCTCAAGCCCCTCTACTATTATTCGCCGCACTTCCTCTCTGGATACACTTGCTGCTCCATACCTTGCAGGGCACTGGCCTCGTGATAATCATGGTCAAACTGCTCCTTGCATGAAGGACAAAGCTACACAGGTAGGTGTATTACAGGTCTTATCCTGAAGTGTTTTATTCTGAGACTGTTTCTCATAATTTTTATTTTTGTTTCTCATAATTATTTGTTCTGGTCTGTGATCAAGTTCTTAAAACATCCGTGTATCTTAGAATAATCTGAAGCTTATCAAAAGAGCAGATTCCCAGGCCTGATCTCCAGATATTCTGTAGCAGATTTTGATTGAGGCTTGAGAATGTACATTTTAAAGATTTCCCCCTACTGGTCTTAAACGGAATTTTTCATATATTACTACCTCTGAAATATTATCACTGGCTAACTGCTTTTTGTTTATTAACAAAAGTTTTTCTACCTTTTCAATTGCCTATGGTGGTTGTTTTGTGAGCACTTTCACACCCTTTGTAACATTAGCACTCTCGATGGCTTTTTTATGTTTTAAAAGCATTCTCTCCTTTTTTTTTTTTTTTTTTAAATTTCTTGAAGTATTACAAAGAGTATTACATATGTCTCCTTTTTTCCCCCCCTTGACATTCCCCCGGCCCCTACCCCCTAGTGTCTTGTGTCCATTGGTTATTCTTATATGCATGCATGTAAGTCCTTCGGTTGATCTCTTAACCACCCCTCCCAAACCCTCCCCAGGCTTCCTACTGTAGTTTGACAGTCTGTTCAATGCTGCTCTGTCTCTGCATCTCCCCCTGTTCACCAGTCTATACTGGTCCCCATTATCTGTCCCAACCTCACTGGAGCTGTCCCAACCTCACCGGGGCCGTTTCGTCCTCACCAGGCCGTCTTGACCTCACCGGGGCCGTCCCGACCTCACTGGGGCCATCCCTACCTCACCGGGGCTATCCCTACCTCACCGGGGCCGTTTCAACCTCACCGGGGCTGTTTCGGCCTCACCAGGGCTGTTTCAACGTCACCGGGGTCATCTCAGCCTCACCGGGGCGTCTTGACCTCACGGGGCCGTCTCAACCTCTCCTTTGTTGCCTGAGAGAAACCTTTTGTCATGCATGCATGGGCTGTCAGGTTGAAAACTGAAGTTTTGTTTCACAATCAAGATGTTTTTGCCGTGAACAACTTGGTCGAGAATGGAATTGTTCTACATGGGAGATGTTTGAGAACTGAGGTTTGACTGAATTGTATTACTTATTCTTCATTTCTGAGTTGTTCTTTTATGTGGTTTTTTATGTCCTTTTTTGATGTTTATATCTCTTTGTTTAAGGTCTCACTGAGATATCCATTCTTCCCCTAAGGTCTAGAGAGCATCTTTAAAACCATTGTCTTAAATTCTGCTTCTGGTATTTTGATTGCTTCATTTAATTTAATTCTTGGGTATTTTTCTTACTCTTTAACTTGGGGCATATTTATTTATTTCCCCATTTTGTCTCTGTGTATTAGGTAGATCTGGTACAATTCCCAAACTTGTTATGGTGGCTTTATGATGAAGGTGTTGGGCTCAGTGGCAAAACCTTCCAGAGCACTGAGCTCCGTGCTCCAGGGATATTTCTTGTGTGTTATGTGCACCCTTCTGTTGTAGTTTAGTTTTCAATGCTGTTTAGCCTTTTGTGGGTGGACTTAACCCTTCAGGCTGGCTGACCATAAGGATAAACCTCAATCACTGTGTGAGGTGCTGTGCAGGGGCTGTCCCCTAAGGTGAAGTTGTTTCCAGCAGGGCCTAGTGCCTACCAGAATTCCCTTTTGGGTGTGCCAATTGTTTGGCTAATTGGGTTGAGCTCTGGTATGGTCTGAAGTCCATCACTGGTTGTGTTGGTTCTGAGCCCACTTGGGTGGGGTTCATGTCAGATGTTATGCTTAACCAACGTTGGGCTACCTGTCTGGAGCTACTATGTTTTACACCTTTGTGGCTGCATCTCCTTGGCCTGAGTGTGTGTGGGAGAAGCCAATTTATATCCTATCTAATAAAAGAGAAACATGGTAATTAGCCGTACGTCTGCTACCCTTCCCATTGGCTAATCAGGGCGATATGCAAATTAACTGCCAGCCAAGATGGCTGCCGGCAGCCAGGCAGCTTGAAGCTAACATGAGGCTTGCTTGCTTCAGTGACAGAGGACTCCAATGTTCCCCGCCTGCCTTGCTGGCCTCTGAGCTTGCAGTTTGAAACATTGTTACAAATATAGGAGCTAAACAAAACCCCAGAAACCTGCTTTCAGCCAGCCGGGATCTCAGAGCTGGAGTTGATACAGTGTTTTGATTATAGAACCCAAACAAACCAGATACCTGCTTTCAGCAGCAGAGGCCTCAGAGCTGGAGCCAGAGCTAAAGCTGGCCCAGAATAAAAAAAAAGAAAAAAAGCAGTTGGGAGCTTCAGTCACCTGACAGCCTGAAAACAGCCCTCAGCCCCTCACCCAGATTGGCCAGGCACCCCAGTGGGGACCCCCACCCTGAAGGGGATGTGACCAGCTGCAAACAGCCATCATCCCCTCATCCAGGCTGGCCAGGCACCCCAGTGGGGACCCCCACCCTGATCCAGGACACCCTTCAGGGCAAACCAGCTGGCCCCCACCCATGCACCAGGCCTCTATCCTATATAGTAAAAGGGTAATATGCCTCCCAGCCCTGGGATCAGCGGAGCCGCGAGGCCTCCCGGCACCGGGATCAGCGTGACGGGGCAGCGCCCAAACCCCCTGATCGCCCTGCGGCTCTGTGTGTGACAGGGGGCGGGGCCACAACCTCCCTATCCGCCCTGCTCTGTTCGTGACGGGGGAAGGCGCCCCAACCTCCTGATCAGCCCTGCTCTGTGCCTGATAGGGGGGAGCTCCCCAACCCCCTGATCGCCCTGCGGCTCTGTGTGTGACAGGGTGCGGCGCCCCAACACCCCCCCCCCCACGGGCCCTGCTCTGTGTGTGATGGGGTAGACCCCCCCACGGGCCCTGCTCTGTGTGTGATGGGGTAGAGCCATAACCTCCCCATCCGCCCTGCTCTGAGTGTGACAGTGGCGGCGCCCCAAAGCCCTGATTGGCCCTGGTCTGTGGGTGAAAGAGGGTGGCGCCCCAACCCCCTGATCCGCCCTGCTCTGTGTGTGACAGGGGGCGGTGCCCCCAACTCCCCTATTGGCCCTACTCTGTGAGTGACAGGGGGGAGCTCCTCAACCCTCTGATCAGCCCTGCTCTGTGTGTGACAGGGGGAGCTCCCCAACCCCCTGATGGGCCCTGCTCTGTGCGTGACAGTGGGGAGCTCCCCAACCCCCTGATTGGCCCTGCTCTGTGCGTGACGGGGTGGCACCGCAACCTCCCATCGACCCTGCCTTGAGTGTGACAGGGGGCGGTGCCCCAACCCCCCAATCAGCCCTACCCTGAGCGTGACTGAGGGTGGCATCGCAACCTCCTGATCCGCCCTTCTCTGTGCATGACAGGGGGCGGCGCCCCAACTCCCCAATCGGCCCTGCTCTGATCCTGACCAGGGGCTGCACCTAGGGATTGGGCCTGCCCTCTGCCACCCGGGAGCAGGCCTAAGCCTGCAGGTTGTTATCTCCCGAAGGGTCCCAGACTGTGAGAGGGCACAGGCCGGCTGAGGGACGCCCCCTCCCCCGGGTGCACAAATTTTTGTGCACTGGGCCTCTAGTATATATATAAAAGCCTAATATGCAAATTGTCCCCACAGGAGTTCAACCGGGAGACCAGTCGCTTGCTATGACATGTGCTGACTACTAGGCGTGGCACAGAATAAAGGAAGGCCCTGGCCAGCAGCTGGGAAAAGGAGGCCCTGGCCAGCAGCCGGAAGGCCCCAATCAGCCCTGATTGCTGGCCAGGCTTAGGGACTCTACCCGTGCACAAATTTCATGCACTGGGCCTCTAGTCTGTGTATAAGGGTCAGTTTCCTTCAACTTCGAGCTGGGGGCATGTAAGAGGACAGGTTCTCTGAGGTCCACCTCTCCTTGTCAGCTACTCCACCTCTCCCTGGGGTTGCTTAATCTTCCTCCAGAGTCTTCTGAAGAATGATTGGAGAGTGTGCCCAGGCTGGCTGCAACCCACAGCCCCTTCCACAAGTTGCAAGCTTGGTAGGGGTGGGTAACCAGGGTTGGGAGGATGGAGCTAGTGAGTCCCCTCTTAGAGGTCATGTGGTCAGGCACTCAATGAGAGGAAAAGTGGTCCCTACTCCAGAGCCAAAACACTCAGTCTCTGCCAGAGTCTCCAACTCTGGTTCACCCAGAAGGGGCATGCCGCAGGTTTAAGTTGGGTGCAGCCAGCCATCCTCTCTGCATGAGTCAGCTCTCCTGGGCAGAGCCAGTGGACTCAGGAGGACAGATCAAGAGTCTCCTGTTGGGATTGATGCTGGCCCAGCTCGCAGGAGTGGGCTAAGCACTTTTTCCTGGTCGCAGACAGTAGCCTCTGAGGGACTCACACTCTAATATCCCAGCTCTGAGCAGCTCTCCCTTCCCCTTGCAGAACTGAGCTCAGCTAGGTTGGGTGTCTGGGACTTGGAAGGGCAGATCCAAACAGACTCCCATTGGGGGGTGGTGCCTGCAAGCCTGTAGTAGGGGGGCAGGCACTTCTTCCCCTTCCTGGGGAGGGTGTGGTGAGTTTGCAGAGAAGATAAGTGGGGCTTCCTGTTGATATAGCTACACAGACCAGCACCCAACCTTCTAATTCTTAAACAAAAGCTTCCCTGGGAGCCCTGGCCTAGTGGCTTAGTTTGTTGGAGCGTTGTCTTGTATACTGGAAGGTTGTGGGTTCAATCCTTGGTCATGGTGCGATAGGAGACAATCAGTTGATGTCTCTCTTTTTTTCTTTCTCCCCTGATCTCCCTCTAAAATCAGTAAGCATATCCTGGAGTGGGGATTACGTAAAAAAATAAATAAGTAATTTTTAAAAAGCTTCTCCAGGAGGCACGCTATGAAAGTGCCAGCTCTGCACAACACTCTGATCCCCCCTGCACAGCTGAACTCAGCAGGACAAGGCCGGCCAAGTAATTCAACAGGTGGGGTTGGGAGGCACAGGCTGTGCTCAAGGTGGGGGAGATTGGCCCCCTTTCCAAAGGCACACAGTCTAGTCACTGTCTAAGT